TGTGTGTGTGTGTGTGTGTGTGTGTGTGTGTTTGTGTGTGTGTGTGTGTCTTATGTACTGCAGAAAGTAAATTATACAAACAGCATACACAAGTTAGTAGTATGCTATTACAAACTTCGACTATGTCAGATGTGAGAAAAGACTCCAGTGCAATGATTTCAAGACAGCTGGAAATTATAATTATCCATTACTCATTTCCTATCTGGAAATACAGGCCAGTTTTACAGTTCATCAGAATATAATCATGTCGCATATAGTGGGGTTCAAAAGTCCACTTGTAAAAATGTTTCTATTTTAAAGTTGTCTACTTTTGGTTTGTTTGTTTTCATTACAAATTATATTATATATTTGTTTTTTTTGTATTTGTTATAGTATATATTTATACACAAATCATGCACTTGATCTCTATTTTGAATCTCATATTTTAGTGTGAATTCAGAATTTTGAATGCCACTGTATATCAGACTATAACTATTATTAGAGAACCGTATCAAATAGACTTTGGTCAACACATATTTCTCAAAATTAGAGAATCTGATACGTAAACTTTTAAATAAATTTCAATAGCTTTCAATGTGCCTACAATTGACTGAAGTGCAATTTTGGTAGCACTTTATTTTACAGTACGTGTACTTTCCTGGTACATACATGGTAAATATCTTGTACCTACAAGCAAACGAGTGGTAGCACAAGGTACTTACCTGAAGTGTATGTACATGTAGAAACACGGCTGTACTTCACAATCGTACATGCATGGTAATTTGTTTGTACATCCAGACATGTGGTAACAAACAAGACACATACTGTACTTGGTATATACGGTATTGGTAAGTCCTAACCTTACCTAATAAAAAGAGGACTATTTTTCAATCGCTTGTGTAGGACTGTTAATGCTAAATTGCTCTCCACAGCAGTGCTTACAAAGTTTGAAGAACTGGTAATTCCTGTGTAATGTTTATGTAAAATGGTGCACTTTATTTTACAGTCCTATTTCCATATACTTCCTATGTACGTACTGGTGTATGTACCTATTAGTTAATGTACAGAATAAGTTATGCGGTACTCAAGTTGGGGGGTATAAACATGGACCAAGGTACTTATTGAGTAATTGATGGTAGGTGCCATTGCAGTTTGGAACTTTGGAAGTTGGTTGGGAACACGGCAGTAACTGTGCAGCACTGCATAGTGTTAATACTTAGTAGGCACAGTCCTTTTAAATAGGGATATAGACACATGACAATCAGGAGTTGCAAGTGCAAATATGAGTCTGGTAGCTACTGTATAATTCCAAAATAAAATCTGTCTACACACATAATTATTAGGAATGTATGCCATCAAAAATTAGTTAAGAGAATCAGTGTCGTTAAAGATAATGCAAGTTAACTGCAATGGCACCTACCATCAATTACTCATTAAGTACCTTGGTCCATGTTTATACCCCCCAACTTGAGTACCGCATAACTTATTCTGTACATTAACTAATAGGTACATTCACCAGTACGTACATAGGAAGTATATGGAAATAGGACAGTAAAATAAAGTACACCATTTTACATAAACATTACACAGGAATTACCAGTTCTTCAAACTCTGTTAAACTTTACCATGTATAGACCATTAGTAACTATAGTAATGTGTCTTATTAGTTACCATATACTGACACTACCTGTTAGTGACCGTTATTACTCACACTTGTTGGTAAGTACTACATATTTACCACGTGTATACCAAGTACAGTATGTGTCTTGTTTGTTACCACATAATACCACATTTTCCGTAGGTGCTACACATTTACCATGTACATATCATTAGTATGTACAGTAATGTGTCTTATTAGTTACCATATACAGATACTGTAAGGATGTGCCTGTTTGTACCCACTTGTCCGTAAGTACTACATATTTACCACGTATATACATTAGTAAGTACAGTAAAGTATCTAATTAGTTACCATGTACGGGCAGTACCTGTAAGTACCCACACTTGTCTGGATGTACAAACAAATTACCATGCATGTACAACTGTTAAGTACAGCCGTGTTTCTTATTTGTTACCATGTACATGCACTTCAGGTAAGTACCTTGTGTTACCACTCGTTTGCCTGTAGGTACAAGATATTTACCACGTATGTACCAGGGAAGTACACGTACTGTAAAATAAAGTGCTACCGCAATTTTCATTCTTTTCTGATGGACATTTCCTTCTCCTTTTGGTTTATTCCTCCATGTTCTTGCCCTTTTTGCCTACTTTCACATACACTGTTGTGAGTATGACAGCCGCCACCAAAACCAGTCCACTGGTCACCAGGTACGCTATGGGCAGGAAGTAATTCTGCCCACCAAACCAGGTCACCATGGAGATCACCAGCTCCTTCCGACCTCTAAAGGGCTCGACAGGAAAATCTGGATTTATTGGTCAAGGCAAAACCTACTTATGGAAAAAACAAACAAACAAAAGAAAGAAATTAAACTGATAAATATAATATCTTCAAGGAATGGTTTACCCAGAAATAAAAATTCAGTCACCCCAGTCAAAATTCTGAACAACCCTTGTTGTTCTATATGACTTTCTCTGTGGAACATAAAGAAGATGTTTTGAGAACTATATTTTGTCTCAGTGGTTTGTTTTTGTTTTGTTTTGTTTTTTGTTTAGTTTTTTCATATAATATTAATTAGTGGTCACCAAACTTGCTTGGTTGGTTACCATACCAATATACTTCAAAATATTTTTTGAGTTCTGCAGAACAAAGAATGTCATAGCAGTTTGGAACAACATGAGAGTGAGTAAAAGATAACAGAATTTTCATTTTTTTGATGAACTATACCTTTAAGTGAAGGAAAGGAAAAAGACAAGTAAACAAAAAAGACTTCATTTCATGACTATGTAAATTTGTTAGCTGTTTGTAGGTTTTGTCACCAAACTGAAAGCCTGTCAGTGCTGCTGAACCATTTCCTTCCATTTATAACCAATTCTGTTCTCCATGGAGCAAAGGATACTGTAATTTATAGAGAGGGTGTAGTTGCCGGCTGGCAGGCCTTCAGTGAAAGGCCCTTGAGCACGATTGAGAACCCTATAAAGCTTTTTGAAATTAGGGAAGGCCGCCTCTCTCATCCAAACAATCAGGTCGTCATTTATGAAGCCATTGTTGTTGGAGTCTGTGTCATCCAGCTCATAAACCGAACGCTGCCAATATAAGGGCCTAGTCGTGCCTGAAAACAAACAGAGAGACAACAGTGAGAAAAACAAGACACATTATGTTCATAAACATGTGGTGTAGGCCTATATGGTGTGTAGCCTACCTTCAAAAGCTTGTTGGAGTGTGAACGTGTCGTTGGTCGGAGGGTTACGGAACTTGACGTTTTTGTCCGTATACCATGCAATGCCTTTCCTGTAGAATGGAACTTGTATTTCTGACCCATCCACTGGATTATACATCACTGTTAATGAGTCTAAAATATATATTATATATATATATAAACAAGCACAAACACACAAACAGCAGCAAGTAAAAGCTTAATGGCATAATTCTACTATGGGTCTTACCATTGAACATGCTGTTGGCCACGGCACCACAGGGGGCAATGGGCACTCTGTTTGCATCGTAATCGAACGGAGCGCAGTACGAACTCGGTGCCTACGTGAGCAATAACAACATCTTTAAATTGTGATAACAGCGCTACTAATGTGAAGCGTAATGAGAGATCAAATACAGACAGACGTTATTTTAATCAGTGTGTGGGAGGAATGAGGAAAGAGCGTGAAATAGGAGTGCAAACAGAAGGGGAGTGAAAGAGACGTCGCGCACCTTCAGGTTGTTCTTCCTCCCCACCATCTGTGCATCATCGCGGGAGTCCATGTACCTCCGCAGGTTCTGATGAAAGTTCCTCAGACCGTAGTAAAAGAATACATCGCCCTGAGGGAGACAGCGCGCTATCAGACGGAGTACTAGGCTACATCATGTTGAAAGGAAATTATGAAGTATTCTAATTTGTTGAGATAGTGAATTGGTGGGTTTTTGTTAAATGTGAGCCAAAATCATCACAATTAAAAGAACCAAAGACTTAAACTACTTCAGTCTGTGTGCATTGAATTTATTTAATACACGAGTTTCACAATTTGAGTTGAATTACTGAAATGAACTTTTCCACGACATTCTAATTTATTGAGATGCACCTGTATGCTGATTTGGTGCTCAAGACACATTAGCAATGTTGAAAACACTTAATATTTTTGTGGAAACTGTGATAAATTATTTTCAGGATTATTTCATGAATAGAAAGTGTAAAAGAACAGCATTTTTTAATAAAAATTATAAATTATAATTACACATTATAAATGTCTTTATTGTCATTTGTTGAACAATTAAATTTACCTTTGCTAAATAAAAGTATGAATTTCTACAAAATAAAAAAAAAATCTTCACCTAAAACTTTTGAAAGATATTGTATCATATAATAGTAGGCTATATAGCCAGACCCACCAGAAAGGTTTTTGGAACCTGGAAGCTGACTGTGCATTTGCAGGCTGTTCTGGAGGTGATGGCATGCTTTCTCAAATCAAAGCACCGTTCACATGTTCCAGCACTGGTGTAGTCGACCTATGCAACAACAAAAAAACAAAAAAAAGGAAAGGGAAAGAAAACCATACAATATGAATATAAAATGTGACTGGTTGGAGTCATGGCAACACATACTCCAACATGTTGAGCTGTGGCCCTCAGTCATTCTATAATTCATATATTAGCTATTCTATAATTTAGGGTATTTCACATCAGGCTATATGCTGTCATGTTGCTATGTAGTTACTAAGCTGTTGCTAGGTGGTATGTTGTGGGTTTTTTGTTGATTTTGATTGTTAAAAAAAAAAAAGTTCACCCCAAAGCAATGAAATTCTGGTCTCTACATACAGTATGGCTGCCCTAGCAAGCAGTGCTTATAACAAACAACACAGTTGACTCATGGTCCATTGTAGTTAGCTACTTTAATTAAACAACTAAATTAATGTCTTTATCAGTGTATTATTAACAGTTTTGCTTTTGACCACCAGCCTTGATGAAAAATATAATAGTAGCGATTAACCAAGATGTTAAATGTATCAAATTACATATGTTAGGTCTATTACAAGAAAAAATTGCAAAAGAACTTGACCAACACATTGTTACACTAAGAACACTCTGAAGTCACTCTCTGATGGATTTATGAGTGACATTGACTTTGTTTCCACAAAGGAACTCATCTTCCTGGTCTATTTTCCCTCTTCCAGCTGTCTTGCAAACTGGCACATGACAAAAACATGTCTAACCTTCAGTTCGTATGTGTTCTCAACAGTGATGAAGAGCCATATGCCCAGAAACAAGCATACGAGAGAGAGGATGTAGAAGGTTGGCAGCACGGTCTGTGCCGTGAGAGATGGAGACCAGGCGGGTAACCTCTGCTGTTTAAACGCTGAGTTATCCGGACGCCTCGACAGCGGCCCTGTACCTGCCTGCTTCTTTCCCATCTCAGATTCTCTAGAACCTCACAGAACTACTAACAACACAATTTCAAATAAAATTGTTTTCTTTAACTGCCACCGAAGGAAGTTTTCCCAGTTCCGAGTGTGACTGAACCTTTGAACCTGAAGGGACTGTTACTTATTAACTACAACCACTCCACCTTTTACACACAGAGAACTGTTCTCCCTGTCTTTAGCTCTGACTGTTAAACCTCCCCGGCACTCCACACATTCTTTTCCATCAGAACTGAGTCTCTCCTCATTCCTGGACTCTGCCGTAATGTGTGGGAGCAGCATCTGGGTGAATGTGTGTGTGCTTGGTGCCTGAGTTTGTGTGTTGCAACAGTATATCCTGAATAAAGTATCAACAAGCAATAAGCAGTATATCCTGAATAAAGTATCAACAGTCTATTATGGGAGGGGCTCCTGGTGTACAAAGACAAAATAAAAAAAGGATGGATGTTTTTGACCAATCAGTTTTTTTATTTACAATCATAAAAAACATTCACACACAATATATTTTTTTCTTGCAGCAGACATATGGCACTAAAATACAGTACATTACAATAGCTCTATTACATGCTGAACAAGTAAATGAACATGAATGTGTAAATAACAGAGAACACAATGTCTGCTTAAAAGAGTCCTATTTTAACGGTTCCTTCCCTGCAGCTCTGGATTAGACCATGGTCCATCATTTTCAGCAAGTCTCCTTTCACCTGAAACAACAACAAAAATAATTCTAGCTATTTTTTCAGTTATCACAATGTAGTTAAAGTTTAAAGTGAATTAAATCCTAAATAATCAAAGTTTAGTGTGTCAGATATGAACATTTACAAGCTAGTCTTTCTTTTCCTGGAAAATTGACAAAAAAAAATTAATTAAGTCCCGTTTCAACAAGAAATACAATGACACAAGAAAGAAACTGTATTCAGTGTTGTCACCATCACCCATAATTTTGGCAAAATCTACATTAGATCTCAAATGTTATAAATCATTTCATATTCATTGCTATCAGGATTACAATTCTTTAAAAAGTCTTTATAATGCAGTTATAAACAAGTCTGTCTCATCTGAAAGCAGCACGTACAATGTTACCTCTGGTATATCCACCATTCTCCTGTGCTAATGGTCTCTGTAGTTCCAGTCCAGAACCAGATATCTCAGTGCTTGTGTAGTCAAACCCTCTAGAGCACAAGCATCACAAGTCAAGCACTGAAAAAGTTGTTTCACAAAACCAAAAACCATGTAAAATAACAAATTTACAAGAAATGTGCATCAAAACAAACCTTTCTCTAACGGCACACATTCTCCCAGGAATTCCAACAGCAATTTGGGTCACACCTTTACTCAATGACTTTATCTGTTCATCAACCTTGATGTGTTTTGCGAACAGCTTCAGCACTTTAGCTTGTCATTGAACACCATCAGCTGACTTAAACACAAAGAGAGGGAAAAAAGACTAACACTTGAGAAGGCAACACTCAACAGCAATTTGGGTCACACCTTTACTCAATGACTTTATCTGTTCATCAACCTTGATGTGTTTTGCGAACAGCTTCAGCACTTTAGCTTGTCTTTGAACACCATCAGCTGACTTAAACACAAAGAGAGGGAAAAAAGACTAACACTTGAGAAGGCAACACTATTATTTAAAACAGAACTGCTGAGACTCACTTAATGAGATCAATGGTTCTTAGAGCAGATCCACAAATGATGAGCAACACCACTGACCGGGTCTGGGTGTACTGCTTCTGTATTTTTGCCCACTTTGGACAAACTAAAATAAAGATAGCAAAAATAAATAAATTAAAAAAATCGAATAAAATAACAAGTAAATCTTAGGCCAAACATATAAGAAAACAAAAGTCATACATTAATGTTAGAGATGTTGATTAACATGTTAATAAAAAAAAAATAATAAATTTTTTTTTACCCATTTAGCAAAAAAATAATGCAATAAAACACAATTACACAATAATAAAGCCCTCTGAGTTGCCTGTACAATATAATTTAAAAGTTTGGGGTCAGACAGATTCTTTTGAAGGAACTTATTATTTTTATTTAGCAAGAATACATTAAACTGAGCATAAATGACAGTAAAATAAATACATGCTGTTCATCTGAACTTTATATTCATCAATGAATCCTGAAAACATTGATCACAGTTTCCACAGAAATATTAAAGGGATAGTTCATCCAAAACTGAAAATTCTGTCATCATTTACTCAAACTCAAGTAAATGCCCCTTGAAACCTGTATGAGTTTCTTTCTTCGGTCGAACAATTCGGTTGAAGAAGATGGGAAAAAATGTATGGAAGTCAATGGCAAACCAGAAACTGTTTGGTAACCAACATTCATTAAAATATCTTCTTTTATGTTTAACAGAGCGAGCAAATCATGACAGAACTTTCAGTTTTGGGTGAACTATCCGTTTAAACAGTACAACTATTATCAACATTAAAAATAATATGAAATGTTCCTTGAGCTCCACATCAGCATATTGGAATGATTTCTAAAGGATCATATGACACGGATGACTGGAGTATTAGCTGCTGAAAATTCAGCTGTGTCATTACAGGAATACGACAACCCTGCATCCTCATATGAGGACATTATATTTTAGTGTATTTCTCTGAGACTATACATTCCACAGATTTAAGTCTGGATGTCCTGTACAGAGCACATTCAGGGCTTTTCAGAGATACTGAATGTTTGATAAGGTTTGAAAAATGTCTGATATTAATTTAGTGACACTCTTATGGAAATATGATAATATATTGTAATTATTTAAATCGGACTAATTTTTAAACTGTGTGTCATAAATCAACATCTCAGGAAAATGTTATGGGGTTTCAAATCAAATATGACTTTCTGTTATGAAACAGGAGGTTGATTTCATACATGTCCTCATATGAGGACACCGGGACTAAAAGCATGTTTATTATGCATTTTGTGAGACAACAAATTAAAAGGGAAAGAAAATATATTTCAATATTCCTATGAAATATTATATATTATTATGGAAATCTTGTCAATTATTACTCTCAATATTACACTTCTTTTTCATTACATGTTGCCCCAAAAACACATTAATATGGAAATTAGATGTAGTTTATAGATACATTATATACAGTATAATGAGAAAACCTGTTTGTGGCCATTTTACACACATTTTGCATGAAGAAAAATGGTATATCAAATCAATCTGTTATAGCATAGTTGAGAATTATCTTTATACAAAGTTTGTTAAAAATAAATCCTAAAAACTCAAAATGTATTGGTGATTTAAAAAAAATCTATTGTTTTTGCCTATGCATGTTCATTCATGTCTTTTTATTTTATTTTTTTTAAATTGAGTCCCGAGATGTCCTCTACCAAGGACGTAGCATAACTTATCATATTTAAAAAAAAAAATTTGTAACATTTTTTTAATGCTCTAAACAATGTAATGACATGAAAAAATTAGACTGAATCGTGCAGTGAAAGAACGCACTCTAAATGCGCACACGCACTAGTCTAGACTTCACGTAATGTATGCGTGCGCGCTGTAGGGATGTTTTGAATGGTTTTTGCAAAATACTCAATAATGTCTAATCGCACATCGTTAAAACAACAATTACGATATTATCGCAGAAGATATATATCGCACACCCCTAGAAACAGTGCGTAATTGTAGCTATGTGTAAAGGTAATTTCAGCTGAGGAAACAAGACTCTGAAAGAGAGAAGACAAACAAAATCAACTCCTTATCCAGATTCAAACGAAACCACACACAAACATGCATTAATCAACTCACCGCTTAGCGTCGGGTCACCCTGCTCAATAACAGAGCGGGTCTGGCTGTGGTGACTCTTCAAAAGGCTCAGAAGGTCAGCTGGGGAGCCCCGCACAGGCTCAGAGCTCGTCAGCACATCTGTGATAGTTTTCTTCTTCTAAAGACAAAGGAGAATTATGCAACAATAGCATGTTTTACAGCACATACATCAGGGGCAAAGACAGTGACTAGAAAATGAATGAATTCAGATAAGCTTTGTCCTCTAATATAATTTAAGAGGCGAGTTTCTCAACATAGAAAATGTCAACCAAAATGAGAAATGAGTTGTCAAATAATGTTTAGTGAAATCAAAGCAATTCTGCAGTAAGTTTGCTCTTTTCTCTTTTCTATCAAGCATGAAGTGAAAATTATTCTGAAGCAGCATACTGAACTGGGCAAAAGAGTTTGACATCTACAGTAACATTAGCCGACATGTGAATCATAATTCTTACCTTTCTTCTCTTCTTGTTTTTGTTGGACTCCTTATCGCCCGTTCCCTCTGATCTCTCCTGTGTGATGAAACATTCTTTCTGCAGGGAAAGTAAGACATTCTTTACTTAAAGATGCCCTGGTTCTGTTTTTGCTCACAAGACCTTTTGTCTCAAATACATCTCTTTGATGAAAAACTTAAATGCCTGAACCCTAGAAAAAATGACTCACAAAGTCGAGGTTTCTAAATGTTTTAAAGTGCCCATGTTATGCTCATTTACAACTTCATCATTTTATTTTTGGGGTCTGAAAGAATACATTTACATGATATAAAGTTCAAAAAACACACTGTTTTTATCAGTTTCTGTCTCTTTAAAGCCTGCCTTTCTAAAATACCCAGTCTGCTCTAATTGGTCAGCTGGGCCATATTGTTGTGGGTGGTCAATTGCATAGAGTGTGTCAGGGAAAGGTAAAATAAAAAAGCACATTAGATGCCCGTTTAAATATAAGAATATTTTAACAGGTTTCTAGAAGAACTGTCAGTGGTTGCAACTTCATCATTTTATTTTTGGGGTCTGAAAGAATACATTTACATGATATAAAGTTCAAAAAACACACTGTTTTTATCAGTTTCTGTCTCTTTAAAGCCTGCCTTTCTAAAATACCCAGTCTGCTCTAATTGGTCAGCTGGGCCATATTGTTGTGGGTGGTCAATTGCATAGAGTGTGTCAGGGAAAGGTAAAATAAAAAAAGCACATTAGATGCCCGTTTAAATATAAGAATATTTTAACAGGTTTCTTGAAGAACTGTCAGTGGTTGACAAAGTGAGCACTTTTTATTTGAACATATTTTTGGGACTCTTCATTTGGCAATGAGCTCCATTTGCAGCCTAGAAGCAAAACCGGTTCAAGCATGTTTGAATTTTGAATTTTTAACTCCTGTGTCATTTCTGTCACTCTAGTATCACTAAACAGAATTGCAAAAATTTATTTTTGTTTTTTTGCATATCTGTCATTGTTCTACAAAACAGAAAGCTCCGCCCCTGAACCCACACCATTGGTTAAGCAACCAGTGAGCTTTAATCAAGTGCAACCATGCCTTTTTCAGCTGCCTTGATTCTGGAAGTAGTTTTCCCATTCCTTTTTCCAATTGGGATTTAAAAAAAAATCTCTGTTAATGGGTTATAAGCCATAAACCATACCAGCCAACTAAGAGGTGATTCAGAACATTACAAACTTATTTGCAAATAAGTGTAGCCTACTTAATGGCTTTAACGAGGGAAAAAAAGAGAATTGCAACTGACAACCAAATTAAAAACAAAATATCAAATGCAATGTAATGTGAAATATGCATATATACAAATGTTTAAGTAGTTTGAAAGCACAGGGAGATTGACTCGATTATGTAATTTGCAGGGCTTCGTGGGAGTGGCTTCTTTTGGCATTAGTTATAGTTCGTAATTAATTCCCCTATGGAGAAAATGAATGGGTTTTTTTACTTCCGGAACCCACCTGTCACACACTATATTCTGTCAGAAAATATTTTTAATGGCCTCACAATCATCACCACCAGTAAACGTGTTTGTACCTTACCCGTTTTCTTCCTCTTCCTCTTCTTTTTCTTGGTGTTGTCTTGAATCTGTTATTCACCCTTCATTTTCTTTGATGTAGATTTAATCAGTTGTTCTTCTGCAAGTGGCTGTGTCCTCCTCCAAAATAATATAAGAACTAAAATACAAACATTAGGAACGGCAATCATTTACATGGCAGAAAACTACATATCCCAGGATGCTCTGCGGACAGGGCAAAGACGTGTTTTGAGTAGTCTGAAACCAGTAAGAGATGTTTAGCCATAGATCTGTGAATATACAACTAACCAAGTTCCAAATGGCGTTCGTTTATTTACAAGAGTTTCATGTAAGTTACAGCTGAATTTTTAAAGATCTAACAGAATCTTGTTAGGCAGAATACTTTAGAGCACTACGAAGTGTGCACTGGCACAGCAGGCAGTTTAAAACCGACACGCGCAGATAAAAAATACACGATACAAATATGACGCTACAAAGTATAGCTGAAATAAATAAACCAATATGTAGTTTCACATAATGAACATGCCCTGAGTCTACCACTCGTCTCCCAAATCATCAGCCATGTCTTAAACTGCGCGAATCTACCGACTAAAACAAGATTATGTTGGAAACAAAAACGAACCGTAAAATAAAATGGTTTTCATAATACGACCTTTATATAATTTTAAGCAAAAAACATTCGAATACTACTAAAACGTACTTTATTATTTTCAGTTATTTGATTGATTGTTGACTTAATTTGGGGATTTTTATTTTTAACCCAACATTCGTCTAAAAGTGAGACCGTGTGATTTGTATTTATTTATTTTCGTGTGGTTTCATTATATGCGGTAGGCTATTCAGATTAACTAAGTCTGAACCACTAGGCGGCGCTGAGTCCTATAAAATTATAACGCTACACAGTATAGCTGAAATAAATAAACCAATATGTAGTTTCACATAATGAACATGCCCTGAGTCTACCACTCGTCTCCCAAATCATCAGCCATGTCTTAAACTGCGCGAATCTACCGACTAAAACAAGATTATGTTGGAAACAAAAACGAACCGTAAAATAAAATGGTTTTCATAATACGACCTTTATATAATTTTAAGCAAAAAACATTCGAATACTACTAAAACGTACTTTATTATTTTCAGTTATTTGATTGATTGTTGACTTAATTTGGGGATTTTTATTTTTAACCCAACATTCGTCTAAAAGTGAGACCGTGTGATTTGTATTTATTTATTTTCGTGTGGTTTCATTATATGCGGTAGGCTATTCAGATTAACTAAGTCTGAACCACTAGGCGGCGCTGAGTCCTATAAAATTATAATTATCACTCTGCAGGGTGTGTTTACTCTCTCTCTCTCTCTCTCTCTCTCTCTCTCTCTCTCTCTCTCTCTTTCTCTCTCTGAGTATGTGTGTGTGTGCGCGCGTTCATTTGTTCCACTTTCCCTCACACTTGTTCGACTGGTCATAACCATGGTCATAACTCTATAATTCCTCCTTTCTCATTCCATGCCCGCGCGCCCCTACCTTTCTATGCGCCCGCGCGCCCCTACCCCTCTATGCGCCCGCGCGCGCGCACACACACACACAGACACACACACACAAGAAAAGCGCACGCAATTATTTATTCATCACAAACATTAATTAAAAATGTCTGTTTCCCTTCAGCGTACAGCACTGAAAGCAACTTCACAGGCTGTTCATCTAACACAGAGATCACTTGTGGTTGACCAAAGATGGAAATGATTTTGCAGAGAAATCCTCTAAAGCCATATCCAATTATTCAAAAGCAGTTGGCAACTGAGAGAAGGTTGCCTAGCAGTTTGTTTTAATGCTGTTGTCCCAAATACTGGTGAAGATTCTCTGAATTTTACAGTAAAGACCAAGTTCTTATTATGAACTGGAGTTGTGCAGCTGCATTTTATGTGATTGAATTAAGATTATGCAATTTCAACTTGGTCCATGAAACAAGGAGGAATATTTTACAGCCTTGGACTTTCAAGTGCAACCTTTAAATACACATCTACATGCACACTCACACAAAAAGGAAGAGAGAAAAAGACCCTCAACATTGTAATTTGCCCTTACTTACACCCCAACCATTCTTCTTTCTTTCTTTCTTTCTTTCTTTCTTTCTTTCTTTCTTCTCTCCCTTAGTGATCCTTAGTAACAAGTAAATATGTGAAGCTGCATTGGATTCAAGCCGCAGTGGTCAAAAGACTGATGGAGTGTGGAATGATTTCACTGCATTATGGGATTCATTGTTTCAGTAGATTTTCCGTGTTATTAAGAGCTCTCCTTTGAGTAACAACACTTAAGGCCCACGGGAACGCAATGGAGTAATGCAGCAATCAAATAAATTCTTAAAACTGAGTGCAGATTGTAGTCACTGGCCAGTTACATTTTGTAATTTAGCTGAGGCTTTGACCCAAACTGACTTGCAGTACCTAACCTTATTACAGGATCAGTCCCTCTGGAGTAACCTGAGGTTGAGTGCTTTGATCAAGAGTTCATAGATCACCCCATTATGGGTTTTCAACATGCGTGATTCATTTAAACGTAGGTTTTCAGAACAACATAATATGGCCAGTTACGTTTTTTTTTTCACGAGTGTAGTGAAACAAAATATTAGTAAAAATGAGTAGTTCATTATAAGAGCTCAAGGATTTGCTGGTTATTTAGCATGACCCATTGGCCCCCAAGACTCATATGGCAGCAAAAAGCATATTTTTATATTTACAGCTATTATTATATAGTTATTATTATATGACTATTATATAGTTTTTGGAGTAGTGAACACTTTTTAATATTTTTTAAAATAAGTCTCTTATGTTCACCAAGGGTACATTTATTTGATCAAAAATACAGTAGAAACAGTAATATTGTGAAATAGTACAAATAAATTATTATAAATGTTTTATATTTTATTATATTTTCAAATGTAATTTAATTGATGTCAACGCAGTCTTCAGTGTAACGTGATCCTTACGAAATCGTAATATATTTTAAAATTCAATTTATTCCTGTGATGGCAGAGATGAATTTCAGCAGTCATTATAATATGCTTATTTGGTGCTCAAAAAACATTTCATATTATTGTCAATGTTAAAAAAACTGTTTAATAATAAACAGCTTAATAATTTTGTGGAAACCATGATGCATTTTTTCAGTATTCTTTGATGAATATACATATTGTATATTGAATATTCTATTGTATATTGAATTTGTATATTCTTTGATGAATATACAACACACACACATATACATGTTTGTATATATATATATATACACACACACACACACACACACACACACACATTTTTGACCACTTTTGTCCACTTTTGACCACTTCCAGAGGTAATTGAAAATGCATTCGATCAGATTGCTTTTGTAGTAGAAATGCTTATGTGCTCATGGTCAAATGCATTCGAACAGCCACAAAAGACTGCTGCTATCCTTATATTTTTCCATAGATGTATTCATACAGTAGGTATAGAAAAGAATCACCCACCTTTAAAATAATCCCATTTTGTTGCTTTGCAGCCTGAAATGAAGACAGGCACAGTTTTTAGTTTTATCCAGCTGTACTCATGCATCTTATAACATCCAAGTGAAACACCCAACATAACAGAAAAAAATTATCATATCATATCATATCATATATCATATCATATCAGAAAAACAGAATCACTGAGTTGGAAAAAGGATCACCCCCTTGTGTCAGTATTTTGTTGAAAGACCTTTTGCTTTAATTACAGTCTTTAGTCTGTTGGGATATGTCTATTTGCCCACTCTTCTTTGCAGAACTGCTCAAGTTCAGTTAAATTTGATGTTGAGTGTTTGTGGACTGCAGTCTTCAAGTCATTCCACAGATTTTCAGTGGGGTTTGAGTCTGGGCTCTGACTAGGCCTTGCAAGGACATTCACCTTTTTTTCCTTCAACCACTGTGTGCTCAGTTTTGCTGGGTGCTTTGGGTCATTGTCATGTTGGAAGTTAAACCTTCTTGCCATTGACAACTTTCTGCCAGAGGGCAGCAGATTTTCCTCAAGAATTTGACTGTATTTTGCTCCATCTATTTTTCATCTATCCTGACAAGTGCTCCAGTCCCTGCTGCAGAGAAACACCCCCATAACAGGATATTAATACCACCTCCATGCTTTACTGTAGGGATGCTGTTATTTGGATGGTGAGCTGTATTGGATTTCTGCCAGACATATCATTTGTTGTTGAGGCCAAATAATTCAATTTTAGTCTCATCTGCCTCAGAATCTTCAAGGTGCGTTTTGGCAAAGCTCAGTCATGACTGCATGTGGCCTTTCCTGAGGAGTGGCTTTTTTCTTGCAACCCTCCCATACAAGCCACGTTTGTGGAGAATTTGAGATATTGTTGTCACATGCACACAATGACCACTCTTTGTCATAAATTCCTGCAACTGCTTCAGAGTTGCTGTCGGCCTCTTGGTCGCCTCTCTGACCAGTTTCCTCCTGGCTCTTTTATGCAGTTTGGAGCAACGTCCTGATCCAGGGAGGGTCTGTGTTGTACCAAATACCTTACACTTCTTAATGATAGACCTCAGTGTGCTTCTAGGCATTGATAAAGCCTTTGAAATTTTTGTTGTATCACAGCTGAAAGTCAAATGGCTTTGTGTGCCATTAAGAAGGTGATTAGCTACACCTGATTGAGTTTACAAATTTTTTTTTTTTTGGGGGGGGGGGAATCCTTTTTCCAACTCAGTGATTCTGTTTGTTTTTTTTGACATGTTGGTATTATATCTTTCACTTGGACGTTATAAGATGCACTGAGCAAATACAGCTGGATAAAACAAAAACGGTGCCCGTCTTCATTTCAGGCTGACAGAAGTGGTTGAAAGAAGACAAAAGAGACAGATTAAAACACAGACTGTCATCCAATTGACCAAAACACATCTTAGATCTGTTGTAAACAGTGCCTTAGTTTTTTTTTTTTTTTTGGTCCATACAATTAATGTCAAAAGGATCAAATGTTGTTTGGTTCCCAACATTCCACAAAATTCTTTTGTGTTCCACAGATGAAAGAAGGTCATACATGTATGGAACAACATGAAGATAAGTGATGACAGAATTTTCATTTTTGGGTGGTCTACCCCTTTAAGAATACAATAAACCTTGCCTGCTCCATTTTATCGCACCACTAATATTGACTATTCTGTGCCCCAAGCAGGCCCTTCCCTCAAACCAGGCACCTCATTCAATACATGCCATGGTACGGCACCAATCTGTGTTTGAAAATGGGTTAAGTATGCATAACAAATACAACTCCCAGTGTGGATGTGAACTTTACATTGTAGTGGCCTATTTAATATCAACACAGCATATGATGCATTTCTTATATATGTGCACCATATGAAACGTAACGAGAGACAGGGCTGTTAAGTTGGCTGGAAGTTGCAGGCGGATGGTGCAGAGGGTTTTTTTGTCAAAGGTTGAGAAATAACAGGAATAGGTCATGCTAGAGTATCTAACAGAGCTTTGAGAGCCCCAATTTAAGCAGCACAAAAGAATGTGGTTTATGTTCAGAG